CTCTCTCTCTCTCTCTCTCTCTCTCTCTCTCTCTCTCTCTCTCTCTCTCTCTCTCTCTCTCTCTCTCTCTCTTCTCCTCTCTCTCTCTCTCTCTGTCTCGCTCTCCTCCCTCTCTCTCTCTAACTCTCTCTCTAACTTCTTCCTCTCAATCTCTCCTTCTCTCTTCCCTCTTTCTCTCCTTCTCCCTCTCCCTCTCTCCTCTGCCCCTCCTTCATCTCCTCCCTCTTTCTCTTTCTCTCCCCCTCTCTCCTTCCGATACACGCCTGCTCCCCCTCTCTGTCATTATCTGTCAGTAAACACAATACAGCGATCACCAGCTGATATCTGCCACTGCGTCGATTTTGTCAGAGCCAGCGCCATTAATGTCAATCATAGCCAGTGCTAACGCTGGGACGAAAGTGCTTACCTGTTGATTCTGTTGAAATGATGTGCTTTCGCAGCAGTTTGTGAGCTTTATATGATATCGACTTGGCCTTCACCTTGTGGTTTTCAGGTGGGTATAGTGAGCGGTCTTTTTAATTAATTGGTTGGATGCTTGTTACTGGCGTTTATATGTATAATATATAATTTTACCACTGAAATGTTTGAGATAAAATGTGCGAATATTATCATTAAAAAGCGCCTCTGGTGGCTCTTGCCTTCCACACTGCCCCATACGAGCCCCCCCTTCTCCGCCTCCCTATTGAGCCACTGCGTCAAATCGCCAGCGGTTTCCGCAAAGCAGATCTACTCAGCGGCTTTAGCGAGGAAATCCAAACTTTTATGGCACCATGAGCAGTGGAAGGATATACACTGTGGTGGAAGGATTCGGTGCTGATACTGATAGCAGCCACGGCGGCGGCCAGCCCAGCTATTGGCACTGGTCGGATTAGAATCGGGAAATTACGGCTACAGAGGCTCGAGTTTGATTTGAGGCGTGTGGGGAATTATAAAACCGGCCAATGGGATTGAAAGGGAGAGAGAGGGGGTGGACAGAGAGAGAGAGAGAGAGAGAGAGAGAGAGAGAGAGAGAGAGAGAGAGAGAGAGAGAGAGAGAGAGAGAGAGAGAGAGAGAGAGAGAGAGAGAGAGAGAGAGAGAGAGAGAGAGAGAGAGAGAGAGAGAGAGAGAGAGAGAGGTGATAAGAAAGCTTAAAAAGTTGGCTCGAGGCGAGATATGCAGATTGATTTTTTTTTTACCTTCATGTTCAATGCTCATGTAACACTTCTTCATATCATGCATTCATATCATATTCATACCCATGTCCAGAGATGTATCCCATTCCATTTTGTATTCACATTCAAACCCACTTTTGGGAAGTGCAATCCTGTTGTATCCATGTCCCTGCCGGGTGCCTCTTCACCCAGACTATAGTGTCCAAGTATGCAGCCATTGTGTCAGGTAAAGTTACACCAATTTCACGAATAAGTGCATGCTCCTGTATGATTGCCTCACATCATCCCGTCCCCTCTCTGACCAAATGGGGATGAAATCTCGGGTCCTTACGGAATAATGGCTTATACGGCGGCCTGTTACGACTCCTGTACGGCGGCCTGTTACGACTCACAATCAAAATCAGTCACAGAAATCGGGAAACATGAGCGCAAACGGAAGTGAAACTTTTCAGCGCCGCCGACAAGATGCTTCCTTGTGAACACTGGTTTAAATGTTAGAGCCGTCTCGCTCTTCGGTGAACCGTCACGCTCTTCGTTAGCTGCCTTTATATATAAGCTCACATATATAAGCTTTTATATAGGCTTATATATGTTTGTTTTTATACACCGTTACCTTCGTCTTTTCCGTCATATTTCAACGATCTCCGTCCACACAACCAAACCCGAACGCTCAGCACAGCGACCGCCCACCTCTCCATCATCCCGCCAGAACGTAAGTACAAAATAATCAAACATGGCGTCCCACTCGGCCTACCTCTCGGGAGTTTTCTTCTTTTACAGTGGACGGCGGCCAGGCCTCTTACATAAATATAGTTGTAAAAAAGTTGGTGCGTAGTTTGTACCTATACTTGCGCACATACCTACATATGTAAGACATAATGACACATGTAATTTAGTCAATAATAAATACTGATGATATGAGTTGATAGTGAATGAGAAAAGCTTCTTTTAGGTATCCTGAAAGACGCTTCCAATGTTTCCATTTCAAGCAGACGTTTAGAGTAAACAAACTTGAAACTTTTACTATCTACATTCAGTCAGCAGTTCGTTTTATTATCTTCCTATGATCCAGTTTCTCAATGTATTCGATCGGGAGTAAAGTTTGGCAATTTTGGCGCTCAGTTTGGCAGTTTTGATGTTCACATTCGGCAGTTTTGACGCTCGCTAGACGACAGTAAGTCGTAACATCTGTTCTGAATTGCCCGCCTGTCCCGAACGGGCCGTCAACGCATCTCAGACACCGTCAACGGTCTCTGGTTAGACAGGGAAAAGAAAACATCCGGGGTGAGGAAAGCAAAACTTTTTGCGGGCGTTTCTGAATTCTGAATAAGACTATTGGTGGTGATGCTTGCTATGAGTCTCTCTGTCTCTCTCTCTCTCTCTCTCTCTCTCTCTCTCTCTCTCTCTCTCTCTCTCTCTCTCTCCTCTCTCTCTCTCTCTCCCTCTCTCTCTCTCTCTCTCTCTCTCTCTCTCTCTCTCTCTCTCTCTCTCTCTCCCTCCTGCTGGCAGTTACCCACAGCTGTGCATATGACAGCACTGGGGAGGAACCAGCAGAGGGTCACCAGTTCCACCCTCCCGGGTAACAAACAGCCCCTCCCCCTCCCCTCCCCACACACACCAACCCCACTGGTCCTCGTCCCGGCCCGCTCTCTAACCCTTGGCAGAGGATGGGCTCGGATACAGACGGGAAGGACTTTAAAGTGCTTCTAGGGCTATTTGGAATACCGTCTACTGGTTGATGTCAGCAGATAATCTATAGACACGTGTAGGCACCTTTTTACGGCGAAATATAGGCATAATGCACACAGTTTAGTAAAAGTGCAACCGATTTCAACAGTTCGCCATAAACTGGCTATGCTGCACTGTCGAAATCGCCTGCACTATTGCTGGAACGTGTGTAATGCCGCCTAAATTGGGCGTAAAAAGGTGAACGAGTACGTACTACTGCACTGTGTGTATAGCTACCAGCCACGTCAACTATATCCGTGCTACCGCGTAGTTGTACAAACCCGTGTAGCCACGTTCAAATCTACAACCCTTGCGGTCTTATATGGTCACGTGTATGTAGTAGGTACCTATGTAAAAGTACCTTAACCCGGCGGCCGCTGGGCCTCCGCGCCACCCGCCGGCCGCTGGGGGGGGGGGGGGCATATAGTTGCCCCCCCTTTACTTCCGCGGCGATATCGTCGCAACGCGAAGAGATAGAGAAGCGAAACTTTGCACACATCTTCTTGAATACCTAGCCGAGGTTGTGTCCAAATTTGGTGTCGAACCCATTTGAAATGACGTCACAGTGACGTCATAAGTTAAATTATAGATTTGCGACTCTCAGTTTCCTCACGATACATCAGATATATGGGACCGAATATAAAGGGCCGATTATTGGTTAGGAACTAGATGGAAGTGTACTTAGATATTTTAGGATGACAGCAGGTGCTGTCTAGTTCATTTACAGTTAAGTTTCATGCTCAGCGTCATCAGAAACGGTCCATATCGGAAAATGACAAAACTTTATGACGTCACTGTGACGTCATCTTAGGTGCTACAACCACCAAACTTTCTTCAAACATTGCCTAGGTATTCATTTGAAGCTATGCCAAGTTTCACGTTCGTAGCTCATCAGGTTTTGGAGATATTCCACAAAACGTAAAGGGGGGGCAACTTTATGCCCCCCCCAGCGGCTCGTGGGTTAAAATGTACAAGCAAGTGTTTTTTACTTTATTTTAGAAATGTTCCGTCCTTAGAGCAACGAATGACCACTTGACGGCACGCATGTAGAGCCACGTGTACCACCACGTGTACCACCTCGTGTAGTCATCACATGTGTTCCACCACGTGTACCACCTCGTGTAGTCACCACGTGTACCACCACGTGTACCACCTCGTGTAGTCATCACATGTGTTCCACCACGTGTACCACCTCGTGTACCACGCACGTGTACCACCACGTGTAGCTACGTGTGTCCACGTGTACCATAAGTCTTACGACACAAACTCTGCCTTTGGTGCGATCCTCCTCACGTAGGATACATAGGAGACCAGTGTCGTGTGGAGCACTGGCCGGACAAACATCTATCACACATCGAGCTGATAGTGCGTGTGAATGGAGCGGCTGGCCAGCGGCGGGGCGTCCACAGCCACACACGCATGACGGCAAGGTCGGCAGCAAGATAACTCAGAATTGGATATAGAATATTATGTAAATGGGTTTGACGGTTTTGGGTGGTAGACCCCTCTAAATTTCTCGGCGAGCGGTTGTCTGAATTGTGATTGCCATTGATATTTGTGATTTGTGGTTTTTTATATTTGATGCTTACGCAGGTTTTCCATGTCCGTATACCACTGATAAGTTGGACTTGTTTCGCGATTCTTCACTGATTCCGTCCAAGCGAGCTATGTTATGTCTGGTGACAGTGACGATTAAACGTGTCTTTTCATTCAGCTTCGTCTTTTTTTCAGTTCCGAACAAGCTGATGAGGGAGTCATTTCGACTAAACCGATATCCATCAATGCAATCGTTTTAATTGAGCTATGCTTATACTACCAATAACGACAAAACGTCAATGTCAATTAAATAAGCCTCACAATAAGCAAACCAATGAATAAGCCTCATAATAGGCTAACGTTTCACTTCATCGATGACTCTTCTGTGTAACCTCACACCCCTTCACTGTGTAACCTCACACCCCTTCACTGTGTAACCTCACACCCCTTCTCTGTGTAACCTCACAGTTCACACCCCTTCACTGTGTAGCCTCACACCCCTTCACTGTGTAACCTCACACCCCTTCACTGTGTAACCTCACACCCTTTCACTGTGTAACCTCACACCCCTTCACTGTGTAACTCCCCCGTGTTCTATCTGCAGGTGTTCTCGAAGGGTCTCCGGGTCAGCTGTTCAACCTGAGCAGCATCCACGACCAGGAGGTGCTGCGGCATGCTGAGCTGCATCTTCACCGGCGTGTCCTGTCGGGGAGGAGGGGGATGGGCAGAGGGGGCTCACTGCGCCTGAGAGTCTGTCATCTGACACCGGAACGGGTAAGTGGGGGGGGGGGGGGCTGGGTCAGTGAAACAAGTTATGAAGCTAGGTCAGACGAGGTCGTTTAGGGTCATAACTGTGGTGTGGGCTGGGGTCAGCTATAGTTTCCGTCAGATTTGTTTCGGTCTGCCGGGGACGGTCAGGGTTACATTAGGGGAGAGCGGGGCCAGTTGAACCACTTTTTATATATTGACATGCACAGCGAGATCTAGTTGTAATATCGAAAAATGCACAATACCATGAAAAAATATGTTCTTTTGGCTTTATTTTAAGATATGTAAAATTATGTTTCAAACATATTTAGCTGCCAAACGCATGCTTATAAAACAGCTCTACGCCCGTTTCAAATGACCCCGATGCGAGGGTCAATTGAACCAGCCCATGGGATCAATTGCACCTATCCTTAACAATGGGGTGTTTTCCTCTTTAAGGCCACTTTCTTACGGATATATTTTGTCCGGTTTACTTTTCCAAATGCTACATTCAATAGGTCGTTGGGAAGCTAAAAGTGCAAAGTTCCTCATAATAGGTGACATAAAGTACATAGACTATGGTAAAATGGGTGGATGAGGAAAATGAGAAATATCTCAGGCTATAGTGTGCTTTCAAGCAAAAGGCTGGAGAAAAGGGGTTAAAAATTGAGCCCTATTAAACTACTATTTCAGTTTAAAAGCTCATTTCAAAGGTGGACTATTTCCTTTAATGTTTACAGCCTCTGAACAATAACCATTGCAAAGGTCACCGGGGTCCATTGAAACGGCATGTGGCCCTGTTTCAACTGACCCTCAGAGAAGCGTTTCAATTGACCCCATCCGCTCCCGCCATCTCGCACGCGCCGTAAAGCACATGTCAAACGAGCTGGAGGGACGGCATCATGCTGAATGAAGGGCCAAATAAGGTGTTATTCCGGAGCCAGGAGTTCTTCTTTCAGCAAACAAAGGAATATGAGATATCACAAAATATTCATAAAAACGATTTCTCCCAAACGCCCCTCAAAAACACAAAAACAAGTGTCAAATCAAAATTACCGTCCGTTTGCCGCCCAAACGCCGTTGACAAAGGAAGTGGTCGAGCGCGGATGCGCAGTGGTGTCGGCAACGCCATATGCTGCATACTGTTGAAAATAAAGCCATGTTTCATCTGACCCCGTGTTTCAACGGGGAGCATTCATTCTGGCCAGGGTTCATAATGTCCAGGGTACGCTATGCCCATTGTCAAAATGGCCAGTGCCTTGAATGGGCCAGAGTTCATAATGTCCAGGGATTGCATGGTCCAAATGTGGCCAACTGGCTGCAGATAGGGTATATTCAAAGAGGCCAGGGTTCATAATGTCCAGGGCACGATGTGTCCAGTGTTCAAAATGGCCAGGGTTCATAATGTCCAGGGCACGATGTGTCCAGTGTTCAAAATGGCCAGGGTTCATAATGTCCAGGGCACGATGTGTCCAGTATTCGAAATGGCCAGGGTTCATAATGTCCAGGGCACGATGTGTCCAGTGTTCAAAATGGCCAGTGCCTTAAATGGGCCAGAGTTCATAATGTCCAGGGATTACATAGTCACTGAAAGTGACGTCATTATGTAAAAAACACGGAATCAGCTCAATGCAAAGCAGTGCAGTGCCGAAGGCAATGCCTTAGGAGAGATTACAGGCAATAGTAAATCAAATATTTTTAGGTTAAGTGGTTATGTATCTGGCTTCAGGCCGAAGGCCTGAAGCCTGATGCATAACCACTTAACCTAAAAATATTTGATTTACTATTGCTTGCAATCTATTCATGCGAGAAACTATTTCCTTATCCCTGGTAGGCAAACATCATTACCTTAGGTTAGGTTAGGTTAGGTTAGGTTAGGTTAGGTTAGGTTAGGTTAGGTTAGGTTAGGTTAGGTTAGGTTAGGTTAGGTTAGGTTAGGTTTGGTTGGGTTGGGTTGACTATGTAATCCCTGGGACACTATGAACTCTGGCCCATTCAAGGCACTGGCCATTTTGAACACTGGACACATCGTGCCCTGGACATTATGAACCCTGGCCATTTCGAACACTGGACACACCGTGCCCTGGACATTATGAACCCCGGCCATTTTGAACACTGGACACATCGTGCCCTGGACATTATGAACCCTGGCCTCTTTGAATTTACCCTATCTGCAGCCAGTTGGCCACTTTTGGACCATGTAATCCCTGGACAATGTGAACACTGGCCAATTCAAGGCACTGGCCAATTCGAGCACTGGACACATTGTGCCCTGGACATTATGAACCCTGGCCTAAATAATACGCACCCGTTTCAACTGGCCCCGCTCTCCCCTACAACAGACTGTTGTCTGACTCAGTCTGGGGCTCAGTCCTGGTTAACCTGGGACACTGGGCAGTCTCGGTGCTTATTCAGTATCATATGGTCTCACAGTATCACATTATTCAGTATCACACGGTATCACAGTATCACATTATTCAGCATCACATGGTGAGGAACAGGGGAAGTCGAAACTAGAAATCGAGTCAGTTGCTTTCAGTCCGTCGACTATATTATGTTGAGGCAAACTTAAATTGCTACCGAATGCTTCCGAATGTAGGTATCTCCTTTTTAAACCAGCCATGAGCTCTGACTTCTGCATAAGGCTCTCCATGAACACAGTCAGAGCTAAATGTATGCAGACACATGCAGTCCTGTTCCCTCTAATCGCAGCGTCAAATTTTCCACTCGGCCGCGGAGCAAACGTCGGGTAACATTCATTCATTCAAACCCCGCTCCATTCATTCAATAGCCGTGCGTCATTCACTCAAAGAGGGCACCGCCGAACATATCTAACACACTGAATTAATCACTAATGCAATGCAGTTCGACGCACAGATCCTACCTGCAGCTCAGCGCGCCAATTTCGGCACCGGTCGCGCCAATATCGATGTGCGGCGCGCCAATTTCGGCCCGCGTCGCGTCACTCCGATGCATATGTCTCCTTTCAAAGAACTCCGCGCCGCGTGCAGTCGCCCTGCGCGCGCCACCGAGCTGATAATTGGCGCGCCAGGTTGGCGCCATTCCGGCGCGCGGCGCCGAATATCGCGCCAAATAAATGGCGCCACGTGGCGCCGGTACGGGTGGAGATTGGCAGTTAAGCTCGGTTCACACTGCATTTACGGGAACCGGGAGGTGACGGCAGGCGCTCTATGAGAGTTGGATATGTTGTTTGTGCCCGGTCATTGAAGGGCGTCTTTTGAGCTGCTGTTCCCGTCAGGCTGACGCCGAGCAGTGGCGGATCCAGGGGGGGGGCAAAATGGGCATTTGCCCCCCCCCCCAAACGGCATAATTTTAACATTACGCCTATGGACGATGCATGGAAAGAATCGATAAATTGTTATGGTTTGCCCCCCCCCCCAAACTCTGAGCTGGATCCGCCTCTGACGTCGAGTGGTGGTGGTGTGTGTGTGTGGGGGGGGAGGGAGAGTGGGATACCCACTGGTATTAGATCTGTCGACTGACTGGTCTTGTGCTGGTGCCACCAGTTTCCGGGTGACTGGAGTGAAGGCATGACATAAACTGGTAGAATAAAACACACACAGCCCGTAGCCATTCAGAAAAAAAATATTGAAACGGTGACTGACGGAAGCGCTGCATCGCTTCCGTTTTGGCACTGTTTTGGAATTTTGCAGTGTGACTGGTTAGTTTCAGTTACATGTGTTCAAGCATGCGTGTATTTTTAGTTTATGTATGTTTGAGTCGTATGCTGGCTTTACCTCTGTCCGCTTCATTTTCTCGACATGTCCCGTCCATTTCAGGTCGCCATTCTCGAAGATATCGTTCTCAGCCTCAGCAGCTCCTCTGGTTGGCAGAAATTCGACGTCAGCGCGCCCGTTCGGGTCGCCCTAACCTCCCAAAAACACCTGCTTGGCCTGAGAATCGAACTCAAGCGCCCCGGGCGCTCTCACTTTCGACCTGTTCGAGGACATCGCTTGCGCAGGTGGCACCTACAGCCCTTCATCATTGTATACACCGATGACGATTTCTCCATGGAGAACGATATCACGCATAACTATCTGCACGTGCCAAAGTTAGCGCCTGAGACGCCATCTGGTGGTGACATTCGCCGCGCGGAGTTCCTGCCACCTGGCGGGGGTCACGGAAGCTCTAGTAGCCGGCTGCGCCGTTCGGTGTCGGACAACCGACTGTCGCCGTATTCAGAGGACGGCTATTACCGGTATGAAGTGGAGGGGTCCAAGGCTGAGCAGAATGTGGCCGTATTCAGACACTATGGAGAACACATGGCGGTTACACAGCCGAGCGGCGTCACAGCCGGAACGGACCCCAGGTGAGCCGGAACGGATCCCAGGTGAGCCGGAACGGATCCCAGGTGAGCCGGAACGGATTCCAGGGGAGCGGAAACGCGCGGATCCCAGGTGAGCGGGAGCAGCGCCGATCGTGTCACGTGACCCGAGACACGTAACCGATACACTGCATAATACAAAGGAGGACAATGGGTATTTGTAGGCAGTGCCAGCTGCAATTCATGAATTATTCCCAGCTTGTTTTTTAGGAAGTTTATAATTACGTTAAATAGCTGAGCGAACTTTTGCTTGTTTTGTTTGTAACGTGTTCTTCTTTTAATCTCACAAGTAGCATGATCCATTGCCTATTTCCTCTCGTATACCTAATTTAGTGATGCCACTGAGAAGTTAGACTAGCAGTCCACGTCTCATGAATAATACACGTACATCGGTCAGCTAGACAGACCGGTAGTTGAGCATATCACAGATCGACTTGGTGATGAGCTGAGGCTTTAAATGTACCCGTGCCTTTTCAGTTTGATACCCTACCCGAGCAACACGAAGCGCAGAAAATGGAGGAGGAGGAAACACAAGAAGAAGAGGAGGAAACACCGAAAACGAAAACTGCCTCGTACCAGGCGGCTGCCGACCAAATGGAACGTCACACAAATCAACGTATGAAACGTCTTAAGTGCCTTTATAGTTGCATCTGCTGAGGATTAGGGAATACAACAGTGTTCGCTATGGGCCGGGCCAGCTCAATGGGCCATGGGTTGGGCTCAGGCTTCGGGCTGGGCTGGGCCCTCAAATAAGGATTGATGGGCTGTGGATGGGCTGGGCCAAGAACTGTAAAGTGGAGTCAGGGGTTCGCGACTGAAACAAAAATTATAACTACATAGCTTATTACTGTGCAAGACTCAAAAACGAGTTAATAAAGCATGACGCATGCAATGTGCATTGTTCTCTCAAAAGATTGTTTTTCTTTGCTACCTTTGGATACCTGTGTGGTGCAGGGGCGTAGGCAGGGGGGGCCACTGGGCCATGGCCCCCCCTTGGGCACCGAAGGCGCCCTTTGCGATTGGAGGGCGCCGTCGCAAATGCAATTGTGATATAATCGAATCGAAAAACAATCGCGACTGGAGGGCGCCCTCCAATCGCGAATGTGTTTACAGGGAAAATACGGATGGAGGGCGCCCTCGGAGGACGCCCATTCCAAATACGCCCTCCAAATACGGTTGGAGGGCTCCCTCGGGCGCCCTCCAACCACATTTGTAGGCTGTAGCTCTAAGCGTAACGGTGGTCGCCTATGTAAGCCGCTGTCCTGTAAATAAGCGCCCTCTCACCCGAAGGCGCCCTCCTGTAGGTCGCCACCCTGCTACACATTGCCGCCCTTCTGCTGATCGGCGTCCTCATAATTATTGGCGCTCTCCTACCTATTGCGCCCTCATGTGAAATTTTGAAGGCCGCCTTTCTCCCCTTTGGCACCCTCTTGTTCAGTGCTGCCCTCCTACCTATTGGTTCCCTAGTCCTTCCTGTTGAATGTTAATCGGGGCCCTTCTCCTATTGGCGCCCTCGTGTAGATCGCCGCCCTCCTAACCACTGGCACCCTCCTGTTGACCAGCGCCCTCCGCACAGACGCCCTCCCGTGTCATCCTCTTGAGCAAAGGCGCCCTCCTCACCATTGCCACCCCCATTTTAATCGTCACCCTTCCGCTCATTGGCGACTTCCAGTTGATGACCGCCCTCCCACCTATTGGCGACCTCTTGTTGATCGCCACCCTCCTATTGGTGCTCTCCTGTTCCTCGCCACCCTCTTACCTGGTGGCGCCCTCCTGTTGATTGTTGATCGGGGCCCTCCTACCTATTGGTGCTCTCCTGTTGATCGCTGCCCTTCTATCCATTGGCGCCCTCCTGCTGCTCCCCAACTTCCTACCTATCGGTGCCCTACTGTCGAAACTCGGGATGTTGATCGGGGCTCTTCTACCTATTAGCGCCCTCCTGTGGATCGCAGCCCTTCTACCTATTGGCAACATCCGTTGATCGCTGCCCTCCTATCATTTATTTACTCCTTTGGCATGTTTTTCAACTTAGTCGTTCTATTGCACATAGTTGATGTCTTGCCTGTGAAAACTGCCACAAATGGACGATGAATGAAAAATGCACAATGAATGAAGTACCTATACCTACCAAAACTATCTACGCTCTACGATGCATTAAACACGTCTTTGGTCTTAACGGATTGATCCTACTTTACGTGCATCATGGCATCTACATGGATTACGATTAAGTATTGTCAACAGGTTCGGCCGCAACAGCAGGCATCTGAAGTTTCGGTGATTGAAACTGGTTATGTGGGTACACTGTATGCATCTGTGAGAAGGCTATGAAGGCTGGTCTGAGGTAATTTGGATGATGTTTACGCATCTCGCGCTCCGGTATCAATCCGATACGGTGATCTGGTGCGTAGATATGCCACCGCCAATAAACTTTTATACATCGACACCAGTGTTCGCCATGGGCCGGGCCAGCCCAATGGGCCATGGGCTGGGCTGGGCTGCGGGCTGGGCTGGGCCCTCGAATATGAAGGATCAATGGGCTGTGGATGGGCTGGGCCAAGAACACTTCAGTGGAGTCAGGGGTTCGCAACTGAGACAAAAACGATAACTACATAGCTTATTACTGTGCAAGACTAAAAACGAGTTAATAAAGCACGCATGCAATGTGCATTGTGCATGCGGCTCGCAAAATATTGTTTTTTTTTTGCTACCTTTGGGTACCTGTTGGGTGTCAATAATTTTTAACCCATTCATTTTTGACGGGCTGGGCCGGGCTGGGCTTTGACGCTTTTACCATGAATGGGCTCGGGCTGGGCCGGGCTGTGAACCCATGGGCCTGGGCAGGGCTGGGACTGGGATTTTGCGGCCCGTGGCGAACACTGATCGACACCCATGAGCCAAGCTTTCTATACAGTTTGTGTGGCAGCGGCCCGACCAAACCTTAGGTATTTTTTACACCTTCAAATTTGGTAAAAGAGCGAGAGGAGCTTTGAAC